GGGGGCTGTCTCCTTCCACCAAGAAATCTGATCCGTCTTTGTACAAACAACCCGTTTTCAAGGCACTTTTGAACTTGCAAAAGGAGGAGAGAGCACAGGGCCCTGGACAAATCACTTGTCTCCACTCCTTGTCTGAAAAGTAATTCCGAGGACCCCTGCCTGTTCATGTCAGGCTTGTGGCAAACAGTGGAGGAGCTCAGGAAAGCCTCCCAGCCTCATTAGGCCGGTTTTCGTTACATTGAGGTTGGGAGGGAAGAGGTTCTGTGATCGCCCAAGGTCACCAAGGAAGAGACGAGGAAGGAGTCAGCCCTGCAGTCAGGGTCCCAGCTCCAAGCCCTTATGGCTCAATGTCTTAGGCTCCTGGGAACAGTGGCTTCCGCCTCTCCCGAAGTGCTAACGGGTATTTGTGGGATGCCGAAGGCACCGGTGTGGAATATAGACACAAGCAGGTGGGTGGAGCACCGATTAGGCCAGCCAATCAGTGCCCGTGATTGAAGACCCCTAGACTCTCTGAGGTACCGCCTGACCCTTTACTTCAGGGCCCTCAAACATCCCGTTTGCCACTCACCACAAGTAAGTTTTATCTTAAAGAGAAAACACGCAAACTGTACATCCTTCACAATAATAGTCTCATATTTGTTTTAAAATAAAGTTTTGTTTCAGGGCACCTGGGTGGCTCAGTCGGTTAAGGGTCCGGCTTCGGCTTAGGTCATGATCTCGCGGTTTGTGAGTTCCAGCCCCACGTCGGGCTCTGTGCCGACAGCTCGGAGCCTGGAGCCTGCTTCGGATTCTGTGTCTCCCTCCTCTCTGCCCCTCCCCTGCTCATGCTCTGTCTCTTTCTCAAAAGTGAAATAAACATTTAAAAAAAATTTAAATAAAATAAAGTGTGGTTTTAAATTGTTGGAATACTGGGTTTGTCCCGGGGCCTCTCAGAGTCTCGTCTGAGAAAGCTCTGCACCCTGGGATATGAGCCTCCTGGTCAGCCCCACTTGGGGGTGGGGGTTGAGAAGGGGGGTGCTCTTCAATTTTATCCCTCACCAAAGCCTTGCAAATTACCATAATGAACATTTATTGTCATAAGGTGCCAGCACCATTCAAGCACTGCAGGTGAAGAATTCATTGAATTCTTTTAGCAAACCCATGCACTAGGTGTCGTGATTATTACTCTGGTTTTACAGATGAGGGCGCTCAGAGAGGTTAGGTAACACGTCCAAAGTCACAGGGCTGGTACCTGTTGAAGTGGGATTCTACTCACTGGTGTTCTCTGGGGGGAGTTTAGAGTGTATTGCTATTGAACCCTTCTCCGTTCTTCTTGGCTCCCGCGGCCCCATCTTGGGTGGGGGGGTGGCAGCTGAAAATCTTACGTACAAGAGTGACAGCTCAGTAAGGCTGGGTATATCCACAGGTGCCTTGGAGAGGGGAGTGGAGGACGAAGAGAAGAGTGAATTACTGAAGGCCGGACCTGGAAAGATCTTCAGAGACAACCAATACACTTTTCACTTTACAAATGAAGACACTGGGAAGGACCAGAGAGGGGAGTTTTCTGCAGGTCATCAGCAAGTGAGTGGGGGAGCCCGGAACAGACCTGGGGCTTCTGGGTCTGGGTGGTGTGGGCAGTATCATATTTCTTTTCCTGATTTTATGCATCTGTCTTTTTATCCCTTACCGTCTAAATGGAACCCCCTCTTGTTTGCAGAACTTTTGTCCGAACTGTTGGTTGCCCTTTGCTATTTTTTTTTTTTTTACTTTATTTTGAGAGAGAGAGAGAGAGAGAGAGAGAGAGAGAAGGGGAGGGGCAGAGAGAGAATCCCAAGCAGGCTCCGCACTGTCAGTGCAGAGCTCTATGCAAGGCTCAAACTCACAAACCACGAGATCACGGTCTGAGCCGAAATCTAGAGTTGGACGCTTAACCGACTGAGCCACCCCGGTGCCCCTGCCTTTTGCCATTTTAATGCCTCCCTGAAGAGTAGTGCAGGCACCGTGAGGGTGACAACCATATTATTTGCTTCTCTACCAGCCCTCACTGTGCACAGCATGGTGCTGAACACACAGAAGCTTCCTGGTCACGTTCGTGGGGCCAGAATGAACTTACTGTCCTACATATGAAACGGAGGACCAAACTCAGACAACTGTCTCAGTCCTGAAGTTGCCGGGATGAATTAATTCTTTTCCTAAAGCTTTCCATCCTGAACGAATCCTGAGGTGTACAGAATAGTGTTATCCCCTCTTTTCTCTCTGCACCTCTCTTGTCTGGGTGCAGCCTGTAGCACTGGACAAATGACTTTAAGATAAAAACGAAATCCTTAAAAAAAAAAATCTTGTTCCCTTCATGCCACGCCTGCAGCATAAAGCTAATTTATAGCTACATGGAATTTCTCTGGTCTTTAAGGTCTCATTATACAAGTAAAGGAGAGGAAGGAAGAAGACAGAATGCTTGCAAATTCCTGGGGGGCGGGGAATGACCTCACCACTTACTGGGTGTTAGCCAACTGCCCAGGGACCACAGTTCAGATTCCTTCTGGGGAGGCCCTGAAAATCCCCTGATAACCCAAACTCTCAAATCTTTTAGGTCTTGAGAGAGGGATGGAGGGCAAGTTGAAGGAAGTAGTTCTAGGTCCAAGTGACATTTCCCATTATGCACTGCCCACTCTGAGATGGACTGTATCCAACCTGAGTCCTGGTCAGAGACTCGGGACTTGGGAAGTCCACTGACGAGGCCTCAGCAGGATGTGAGAGAGCCGAGTGGAGAAAGATGGGTAGTTTGGGGAGAAGGTGAAGCAGGTTGGATATGTTTGGGGATAGGTACTCAAGAGGGTGCATATGGGATATGTAAACAAGAGGACAGAAGCCGCGGGAGTGGGCCTTTCTATTCACATCCCCAACGGCATCTTCCTGTATTCCCCTAAAAACAATTCCAGAATTCTCTTACAAAATGTACTGCAGCCCATTAAGCACTTCCATATTGGATGGCTTCTCTCCAGACCTCGGGGCATTTTACAGACTAGGAGCTCTTAGTTAGGGGGGGGCCAAGAGGCAGCTTTGGGGCCTCTGTCAGCCCCTAGGATGCTTCAGGGAGAATTAGAAAGACTCAATCTGGGGAGAGGGGGCACAGCCTAGATTTTGGGCCCCACCTGTCCCCTGCTTGAGGTACAGCGCTCTGGAGATCTTGCAGCCCAGAAAAGATCAACTTGGGGCCAGGCGGCCCATGGGCTCAGTGTGGGATCTGGGACTGGCCATGCCCATCTGTAAAAGGTGGGATTGTAATCCGATCTCCCCTCCCCTGAAGCTACTTTCCAGATCTGATGCCTCATGAATCGGTGATTCCAAGGACAACTTCTCACCCCCAAGTCCAGGGCTTTCCTCATTCCTGGCTACAGCTCACCTTGGAGAGAGAGAGAGAGAGAGAGTTGGCAAGGTAGAGGGTGGAGGTGAAAAAGGAGAAGATTCTAAGGAAGCCTGGGTGTGAAGTAGTTTTGTCCAAAGGGCCCTAGACCAAGAGCGTGCTCTTTTTCCGGCTTAACTCTTGTGGGCCTCTGTTTCCGCCTCTAAAAAATGGGAATGGTGGCATCTAATACCGAGGGCAACGTTGTGGGGATTAAAATCGCCCAGGTGAAATTGCCAGGCATGCAGCGGGGATCCCACGAGCGTTTGCGGACCCGAAGAGGGCTTGGTTGGGAAGGTTCTAGACTGCGTGCGCGAGGACGCAGGCGCGACGTCTGGCTTTCCGGGCACGCGGCTCCCTCCCCACCCCCCG